TTACAAGGGTTAACACAAAAATAGCATGTTTCATATATTCGAAACAAATTATATTTAGATTGAGGTGAAAGAGATACAACTTGCAATCGCTTATTTACTCTCTCGACTTCATGGAGAAGCTTTTGCCCCAGACAAGTCGAACGAGCGGTGGCTGAGGGTACAACAGGTGCGAGCACAGATAAACCGTGCTCAAGCTCAAATTCGTATTGTTATCTATATGCAAACCAACGTAAAGAAACGATTTCGTAGCTGGAAAGTGAAACAATCGATCCCTCCTGATTGAAAGTACAACGTATAAGTAATTCAGTGGGTTGAGAAAGCTGTGTCGGCAATAAACGAAGACCAGAAAGAAAGTCCTCAGGTGGACTACATGCCCAAAAGCCTTGGTCAAGACCCGTGTACAGCAGACACAGAACTCTTTCAAGAGCACATCGCCCGACTTAAGGACAACTTCTGTCTGTATAGCGCGCTGCTTCAGAAACAACACGTGGAAGGTTAAAGCTGAGAGAAAACTTGTATATCAACATATCAGTTCATTTACTGCATTGATGCAGTAGGTCTCAGATCACTACGAAGGAAGCTGGCGCTTTCTGGCAAACCAAAACTCTGTAATTGGTCTTAGGCGAGATATATACATAAAAATGTTATTTGATAGGATCGTCGACGCTTTCCGATCCCCCCTAAGACTCTGGATATAAATATCCAGAGAACAACCACTGGCACAAGCAACAAGCAAAGTTCAAATTTCTTTTTAATAATGAAAAGATCAACTCGTTATGCACTCCTTGTAATAGATGCCAAAGAGCGCAGAAAATTTTGGTGAGATCACTTTTTAGTCTTATCATACGATTCCCATCCGACTTTTAAGTAGCAACGTGATTATTTAAATACATGGCTGAACTTCATTAAATACAAAGGCCGTGTTCCCGCAACCAATTTGGTGTGAATTAAACCGTTTTGTAACTAAAGATAAATTATTGTGAAAACCGCTTCGATTGTCCGACGATTTCCACGCGTAAAACAACGCATAAATCTAAAACAAAGGGGTTAAAAAAGGACATAAAATTGTGGTAAAACGTCGAATAATTTGAATTGTGTAAGCTAATTCATAGATGCCCTCGATGGAAAAGCTGAAGCTAATGCAAACCCGCAATTGCCTTCTGCTGGCAAGCACAGCTTGGATGCATCGATATCCTGCTACCAAGGAGTCATCCAAAGTAAATTCACAATAAAGCTCGGTTTTATTTTTCTTTTTGTTTTTTGGACGAAAATTGTCGTTATCGTTATAACAACAATTTTCGTCCAAAAAAAAAATATGTACAGGCGGGCGCTCGACAAATGTTGACAACATTTGGATTGCAGATTCAACTTCAAATGAATTTCATGAGTCCTGACTCAAGGTCTCACATTGCAATTGCCTCTTTCCCAAGCAACCAAGCAACACATCGCATCTTAAACCAAGACATCCATGGCCGGATCCGACAACGTCGACGTGGTGGAGCAGGCCGTCAGCCTCTTCTACTCCACCTTCAAGCAGTACGCTAACCTCCCGCGCGGGGCTCTGACCATCGCAGCCGCACCCGGACGCGTGAACCTCATTGGTGAACACACAGACTACAACGACGGCTTCGTGTGTCCCTTGGCACTGGACAAGACGACGGTAGTGGTGGGCGTACGCGCACCCGCCGAGTCTGCATCGATTTCCAAACTGACGTCCGCGAGCTTTCCCGGTCAGGTGCTGGAGTTCCCGGCCAACAACACGGAGCAACTGGATAAGACGCAACCGTCATGGGGTAACTACCCCAAGGGCGTGACGGCCGTATACCTCAAGCACTTAAACCGCAAGGAACCTTTGGGTGTACATGCAGCCATCGCAAGCACGGTGCCTCTAGGCAGCGGCGTGAGCAGCTCTGCGGCGCTGCAAGTAAGTTTTGCCACGTTTCTGGAAAGTTTGTTTGAGATCGATGGGGTGCCGGCCATCCAGAAGGCGCTACTCTGTCAAACGGCGGAGCACGAGTATTGCAATGTGCCTTGTGGCATCATGGACCAGTTCATCTCTTCGTGTGGCAAGAAGGACTGCGCACTATTAATCGATTGTCGCGCCAAGGAGCCCACACTTGTGGCCTTCCAGGACCCGGACGTGGTTATTGTGGTGTGCAACTCGAACGTTAAGCATGAGCTGAACGGCGGCGAGTACAAGGAGCGCGTCATGCAGTGCCAGGCGGCCGTCAAGACACTCCAGACTCACGGTCATCCGCAGATGACGCACCTACGTGACGCGACGATGTCCGAACTGGACGCTGTTCGTGAGGCGCTGGGCGATGAGGTGGTGTATCGTCGTGCGCGCCATGTGATCACGGAAAACGAGCGTACCGTGGCCGCTGTGGAGCACATCCGTGCGCGTCAGTACGCTGAGGCGGGCCAGCTCATGTTCGAGAGCCACGATTCTCTGCGTGATGACTACAACGTGAGCACACCCGAGCTGGACTACCTGGTAGAGACGGCTCGCGGCTGTGAAGGCGTGTTTGGCGCGCGTATGACGGGCGCTGGCTTCGGTGGCTGCATTGTTGCACTCGTGCAGCAACAGCACGCACAGAAGCTTATGGAAACGCTGGTTGCTGACTACCCAAAGGACAAGTTCGGCTCAATGCGTCCCAACCCAACAAGCTTCCTCACGCGTACTGGTGACGGTGCCCACGTGATACAAGCTGGTGTGTCTACCCACTAGCAACTCATTCGCTTTAAATTCACATTGAGTCGGATCGATCAGAGAATTGTAGTCTATTGTGAATGTCATTGAGTATCTCCACAATGGTTGTTTTCCTCACTTCGATCTCGTATAACACTAAACGAATTATTCAATACACTACTACTTTTTAAAAAAAATTGACAGGAATGTCACCGTTCTTAAGACCATCGCGCCCACTAACTCCTTGGAAGAGATGAACGCGGCGGTGAGTTAGAGAATGGAGGATTGTTCTAGCAAGTGAAAAAAATTGGACTTTTCTACTGGCGAAGAAAAGAACAGAGTGTATCTTGCATAAATAAGGAACCAAAACACGCTGGACGGACATGTACGACCGCCGTACCCACTTGAACGGACGGCGCCGCAACAAGCGATACAGCAGTGCATGCGGCTTCCGGACAGATGAGATGCACTCTCCTCCACCTTCACACCGCAACGCTCGCTTTCTGCTACATACTATACCCACTCGCACACGTCGAGAGAGTGGAAGCGGGCTGTTGGATGAGCACGCCATACAGCAATTAAGCTCTACTGAAGTTTCTTGGTGTCGGATTCGCAACTGACCTTGTTGTTGGCACTGTCGGAAGTGTAGCACAGAATGACTGGTGCAGCGTCACTCATGTGGTCCACTGCGAGATATGTGCACCACTTTGTATTAGTGTTTCCAACATAAAGTGAGCTTTTCGCAGGTGGGACCTTGAGACGAAGTTACCCGTTACATGTACGACGGGCAAAGCTGGACTTGTCTGCAGCCCAAGAAAAGCTTTGGGTGTGAATAAGTCAGCCAGGAACTGCAGCGCCCATGACCACGAGCTCGGAGCGTCCAGAGATCCGCACGCGCTTTGACTCGCACGACGAGAGCGTCAGACTGCACCTCGTTCCTCCTTCGTCTGCGGATCGCTCGCCACTCAAGTCGTGGCGCAATTTGCCGAGCCCAGTAGGCCACCACCATCTATTGGAAAGCCAATTAGAATATGAGGAGATTGAGGAGCAGGCGCGAAAGCAAGGAAGGACTAAGACACGCACTATCAACCACATTACACTTGGCTTCATCGCATACTTCGCTGTTGCAGCAGGGCCATTTGGAGTCGAGGATGCAGTGCGAGCAGCTGGAGCGTACCCGGTACTACTGGCTGTAGTTCTACTGCCGTTCACGTGGGGATTACCGCAAGCTCTCATGACGGCAGAGCTCAGCTCCATGATCGACGAGAATGGTGGCTACATTCTGTGGGTACGACGTGGACTGGGCCAGTACGCAGGTTGGGTTAATGCCTTCAACAGCATCGCCAGCAACGTCTGCGACTTGCCAACGTATCCAGTGTTATTCTGCAGCTATGTGGAGGCATTTATGGCGTCAGGTTATGGCTACACACTGACAAGCACGGAGCAATGGCTGGTCAAGTGCTGTGCACTGCTTCTGGTGTTCACGTCCAACGCAGTTGGCATGCGCGCTGTGGCTCTAGCTTCAGTTCTCATGTCACTATTTGTATTGGCACCGTTCGTACTGGAACCGTTGTCGGTGGAGACGTTTAACCTGGCGACATGGGGCAGCGTAGCGCCACAAATCGACTGGTCGCTGTTTCTCTCTACGATCCTATGGAACTACCAAGGTAAATGATATGGTGAACAGTTAATACTGTTGCGCCGGTGACTTCTGACTGCTGTATGTTGTAGGTTGGGACTCGCTTGGGTGCGTCGCAGGTGAAGTGAAGGACGGCGGCAGGACCTACCCGATTGCCATAGTGATCGCAATGATCCTGATCACGATCAACTATGCGTTCCCAGGTATGTTCTAGACAAGTATTACTATTTATCATATTCCACTCATATTAAACGTTTTGGTTATCTCTTGTTTGCAGTTGGTGCTGGCATCATGGTGCAGTCTGACTTCTCTCAGTGGCACGAGGGTTCTCTGGAGACTATCGCGATGACGATTGCTCCGTGGCTGGGCGTCTGGGTTGGCATGGCTGCAGTCGTTGCGACGCTAGGAGAGTTCAATGTCGTCATGGCGTGCAGCTCACGCGCGCTGTGGGCGACAGCGGACTACAAGATGCTACCATCCTGCCTCGCTATCGAGTGGAAGCGCTTCGGAACGCCCATAGCTGCGGTGATTTTCCAAACGATGACCACGGGAGTGCTCATGAACTTCTCGTTCGAGTTCCTGGTGGTGCTCGATACGTTCTTCAACAAGTACGTGACGTGCCTATTGCTATTGATATTGCTGTGTATGTACACTGATTTGGCACTTTATGGCTCTCTGCTACAGTCTCACGTTGTTGCTGGAGTTCTTCGCGTTCCTGCGGCTCAAATACACTGAGAAAGACACGGAGCGTCCGTTTGTTGTCCCGTTCGGCAACATCGGCGCTTGGACCATCACACTGCCAAAGATCCTGGTGCTTTCGGGGGTATTGCTCGCTCAGAAGCGCCATGTATGGGTGACCTGCGGGCTGTTCAATCTGGTCGTGTCCAGTGCTTATCTGGTATGGCGCCGCTTCCAACCAGCTCCCCAGGTCACATCCGAGTCCACTACCACCTACGGCACCGGCCACTTGTCTTAGCATCTGCATTTAGCTTTTAGCTTTTAGCATCTCATATATTAACTTCAAATCTCTACACAACGATGACCCACTTATTCTAGAATTTAGAACAGTAATTGTATTGATTCTAGGTTTGTGATGATCCTATCATCGTCGGAAGATAGCGTTTAGCTCATCTTGGTAAAAGTGTCCTCGCCGCTTTTGTTTCCTCTTCTGTTTCTTCTTCTCTCTTCGAAGACGTTGCTGCTCTTTGGCTGCCGCTTCAGCCCGAGCACTTTTCTCTTCCAGTGCAAATTCCAGATCCTCAACGTTCTCGTAAATAAAGTCGATCAGTACATCGACGTCCATGCCAACAGGAATGAGGATCCCCATGCCCTGTTCAGGAGCTTCTTCATCCCAAGACACCTGAGGCTCTTCCACCTCGGCGTCGGCAGTGATCAGTAGCGTGATTTTATTCCACACGAGACTGTGCAGACGCAGCTCCATGAAGTTGACGAGCAAGAGGTTCGCAATCCAGTGGAACGCGCTCTTCTTCATATGCGGATCTCGAAACTTTGGCAGGAAGAGTCTCGAGTGCAGTAAACTAGTCAATACAGCATGTTGCGTAGCTGCAAGAAGAGTACAAAATGACAGATAAACCCAGTGGTGAGAAGATAATCGAAGAGAAACTGATGCAAACAGCACTTACTCGGTCCATCTTCCAGCCCCGTCGTCGTTTCCTGTACGATATTCTTTTCGTGCGTGAGCATCTGGTGGAACATCTTGTCAAACTGTTCGTGCTCTCGCTTCTTCGCTCGGTTCTGCTCTCCAACACGAATTCCGTGCATGTCCGCTTGATCTGCAACAGTTTCTTCTTCAGCCAGCCACTCAGCCAACGCTGTCGTCTTTGTTTCTTCTCCTTCTTCCACTACAAGAGGCACTTGTGCAATCTGGAACAAATCCTGCAGAATTCGTTTCGTAGTGCGCTGCCATTCCCGTGCAAATGGGGCATGCAGTGCAGCCTCGGGGTCATTACGGACACTAACAGACCGTCCAAGATTGGACAGTGTGCGCTTCACCAGACGCCCCGGCACTTCTACAGTGTACTTAACTTGAACGAACTCGTCCACGTGCTCCTGGGTCTCGGAATCGTCCGCCGGGACATTAAAAACCAGTGGAAACCGCACCGGCTCCTCGGAAACTGCTTGGCGGCTCTCGCTCAGAGCCACAACCTGTTTGCGCGCATTGAATGCGTCGTTGTTGCAGCCGGACGCAGCCAACTCGAGGAAGATGTTGAGCTGCTTGAGTGCCTCTTCGTTCTCCTGAGCCAAAGCGGGAGCTTGGCGCTGTACCGTGTCAGGATGCAATCGCAACAGCAGAGGAGACACGTACGGAGTGAGGTTCAGTCCTTTGGCGCGGCGCAGACCAGTTGCCGTTGACAGGCAGCGTCGCAGCACTAACGGAGCTCTTCGTTGCAGCATGAGCTAGAGTGAATGGCTGGGATTGGTTGAAAAGCAAAATGTGTGACGTGTTACAGATGATTTAGCGATGGTGTGGCGTGGAAAAAAAGAGGGGAAAAACTGCGCATTGGTGAAAACCGATTTATTGATTGAGGATCTTTCCAACATGCGTGAGGCTAAGTTGTGCAAACTACCCTTAAAGCAATGGGGACGGCGCATGCACACCTATCTCAGAATTATGAGTCTTTCGGCTAAAACTCAGAGAACTTACGCTCGTGTCGAGGCCTGTCAATCCGGTGGAGGATTGGCAGGAAAGGCCAGTGATTTTTCCTTAGGGATAGATTGATGAACCATTTGGTCAAAGGGGGTTTTGTGCCTGGGGCTTCCCTCCTCGTGCTGTGGTGAAGCAGTGCGTTACTGAAAAGGTGAAGATAAGATTTTAATGAATCATTCTGGAATTCACCAACTCGAACTCAAGTGACTTACCTTTTCCGCTACCTTCTGCCGCTGCTGTTGACGTCGTAGCTGCTTGCGAGGACCTGGAAGGCCTGGACAGCAAGCCAATTTACTGCGCTATTGCTGCTAAGAATCTGAGCAACACGAGTTCAATTCCATCGGAGTGATTCGAGCACGTTTCAATGGAGACGATTATTGTCCACCAATGGCTCCATGCGCTGGCATCGCGTTCTTTTGAGCAGCATCGAAATCCATTAGGCGGCCCACCTTGCGAATACCATAGTGAACTCTCCATTGTGACATGATGAAAGTTTTGTACTTCATCGGATGTGCCAAAACTTTGGAACCTTCACGGTCTGGAGGTCCCCTGGGTATCTGGAGTTTAGGCATCTGAGCCGCAGTGTAAGCAGGACTATACCCACCTCTCATGATGCTTCCTCTCGCGAATTCCCAATATATTACTCCTGCAGAATAAATTATTATTTTAAACAACAGGCCTCGAATCGGAGACATTCTCCTGACGATGAAATCTGTATTTTGAGACCTGTGATTGGCCAGTGCGGTATCTTTCTAAATCCCACGTACTGGTACGCGGTACCAAGCAGACATCTTGCTTTCACTATGCATTTCTACTTACGTATTGCACACCAAAAACAGGGTGGGGAATCAGATCGGATCATTCTTTATTTTGCTGGCTGACGCACTAGGTCTCAGGAGCTCCCTACGATGGCCGTGAACGAGAGCTCGCCGTTGCTACAGGGTCACTCGGCCCAGCAGCAGCAGAGCGGCCGCCCCCCGCTGCGTCGCGCCCTGTACGTGATCGTGCCGCTGGCGCTGGTGGCCATCGCGACAATCTGCATTCTCATCAGCAGCGATGGCTCCAAAAAATCTTCAGCCGCGTCCAGCTCCGCACCGGCACCAACCAAGGCGCCAGCAGAGGTCAAGTTCACTGACGCTGAGCTGCTGACCATGCGGCCCCCCTTCGAGGAGAAGCTGCACCCGCTACCACCCAAGCTCGTGCGTCGCAATGACTTCGGCCGCTCGCTGCCCACCAACGAGTTCTGGTCCAACCTCATGGTGGCCGACAGCCACGGTCTCAATGCTGGCGCCGGTGAGGTCACACTCAGTCCCTACACCGTTCGAAGCCTACCCAAGAGACTCGAGATCTCGTATGGAGACTCTCGTCGCGTGGCCACCAAGGACACCATCACCGAGTATTTTAACGTGGACGCCAGCTTCACAGCTTACAGTCACAAGGTGCTGGACGGCAACGAGACTGGCAGCGCTCTGTTGGGTGACGGCAACAGTACGTCCAGAAACGTCGTGGGTTTTGACGTGCTCTCGGTGTTATTGCAGTATTACTATGGAGAGGAAAACAAGTGGATGAAGGTGCCTATGGTGCGAGGCTCACCCTACGTCACGGTGGAATACCAGAATGTACTGCCCGTCCTAGAGTTCAACGCCACAGTTTCGACTGTCAATGGTGAGAAAGTGGAGCAGAAGGACCCGCTGACTCCATGGAATGAGCTCCAGACGTGGACCAGCAACCGCTTCGAGCTCGACATTGAAGTCTACGGCGCAGGCGAGAGTGCGCACGGTACTGGCAAGTCTCAGCAGAAGTGGATCCTATATTTTGACAAGGTGCGCACGCTGCAGCTACAATACGCCAACGAGAAGGACTACCGCCCGTACAACTGGCGCGGCGAGCTCACTACCCCCACCAACATCCGTCTGGTCGACACAGACTTCTTCACTGGAGCTGCTCGCTTGGCAATTGTTCCACAGGGATCATCACACGCCGCCATTAAGGCTCTTGACAAGGCAGCTGCTATTTATCCAGTGGGCTCCTCGATCACTACGGACGTTAAAGATACCGATGCGTCGTTCTCGTTCTGCTGGAAGACGAAGACATTCCCCGATCTTGGCGAGCCGAATTTGAAGTCGACTTCGACTGCTGAGCTGCTGATGATGGCGAATCCACACCACGTCGCGACGTTCAAGACCGACAGCGATGCTTTCCAAGTTCTGGGGCAGTTTGGACACCGTACACTCAAGTCGGTCATGACGGCAGTACTTGGTAGCTGCTGGGAGATGCAAGACAGTTTACCGACTGCCTCTTTCCAAGAAGAAAACGTGCAGATCCAGCCACAGTATCTGGAGGCGATCAAGGTTGCTCTTGCTAACGACTCCAACTACACGCCCGAGGCCGACGATCCGTATTACTTCGGCAAGGAGATCGGACGTCAAGCCCGATTGGTCCTCATCGCAGACAAATTAGACGAGAAGGAGCTTCGTGACGACATGCTGGACAAATTGGAGGAGTGGTTGACTCCGTGGATGCTGGGCCAGAACAGTGACCACTTCGTATATGACCGCAGCTGGGGCGGCTTGTGCTCGCTCAACGGACTCAAGGGTGTGTTCTGGATGACGGACTTCGGCAACGGATGGTACAACGACCACGTACGTAGTCTACATGCTGCATCGCTCATTGTGACCCTGATGGACTCACAATCTACTGTCTTATTATGCAGCACTTCCACTACGGCTACTTCTTGTACGCGGTCGCTGTCGTGGGCAAATACCGTCCAGCCTTCGTTAAAACACACAAGGCCGTTGTGATGTCGATTGTGCGTGATATTGCCAGTCCCGACCAAAGCGAGTACGTATCCATTTGCCCCGTTGTATCCCCTGTTTGCTGGTACTGAACCAGTTATCTCGCTTACTTTTGATGCAGTACGTTCTTCCCGTTCACTCGTCACTTTTCTTGGTTCGATGGCCACTCGTTTGCCAGTGGAGTGTACACTCTTGATGGTGGCAAGTCTCAGGAGAGTGTTAGCGAAGCCATCAACGCCTACTATGGCGTGTATCTGGTGGGCAAGTCCTTCAAAGTCCCGGAAGTGGAGCACATGGGCCACCTCCTGCTTGCTCTTGAGATCCGTGGCGCTCAGACGTACTGGCAGATGCCCTCCAGCTCGAATATTTACGAGCCGATCTACGCCGCCAACAAGATGACGGGGCAAGTGGCTGCTACGAAGGTGTCGTACACGACGTGGTTCGGTCCGCAAGTGGAGCACATGCACCTAATCAATATGATCCCGTTCACGCCGATCACGGACGCGTTCTTAAAGCCTGCGTACGTCAAGGAAGAGTACCCGATTCTGCAGCAACAAGCGTTCGACCGTGTACAAGACCCGATCGAAGACCGCTGGAAGGGCTACGCGTACCTGGACTTGGCTATCATCGACCCTGCCGACGCGTGGTCGAAGGTCCAGAACATGACGTTCTTCGACGACGGCAGCTCGCGCACCAACTCGCTGTACTGGATCGCCACGCGCCCGACGAACTAGTCGTCGTCATACCAAATACGAAGACTAAATGGTTGCGCTAACGTGCCCTCGCACACTAACGCTAGACAATGAACGAGAATGTCGTCGCTTTAATTTTCTAGTATCCGACGATATATAATCGACTCAAATAGGCGTCACCTCGAGGTTGTGGTCTAGCAGTGTGTCCTCGTCTGCAGCGAAATGGAAATGTCCTTGCACGCTTTTGCCGCTGAGAACGTGCGGCAGCCAGAAGTGGTCGTCCGCCCACATGCTCTTGAACGGGATGTCCGTGATGTCGTACCACTGCGGCTTCATCTCGTCGCTCTCAGACGGCTCGCCCGAGAACTGCTGCGTCAGGAATACGTGCACCTCCATCACCTCCTTTGCTTCTTCGAAGGAGAAGAGCAGCACACCACGCGGCTGAAGATGTTCTGCTTTAACCGACACGTTGGCCTCCTCTTCTATCTCTCTCGCTGCTGCAGCCGCGATGCTGGCGTCCGAGACCTCCACTTTGCCACCGAAGCCGTTCCACTTGCCCATTCCAAAGCCGCGCTTCTTCATACCCAGCAGAACCTGCTGGGAGCCCATATCATCGCGCACAATGAACGCTAGCGTGAGCAACTTACGCGGAAGCGCGGGCACTTGGAGGCTGCGACGCATGATGGCTGCCGAAGCTGAAGGTGTCAAATGTAGCCACAAAAATCAGGTGCGTCTCAAACTAAGAGATCTTTTAGTTCGTATCTTTCTAAATCATGCCTCGTGATAGTGACATTAAACAGAGAATTACTAACGTCACATCACACTGAATCATATCCTGTTCTTCAAGCGAGGGCATACAACAGCCAAGTTAAAAACATCAAAGCGTATCTTGGTCGCTCATTTCCAGAGAAGCCACCAAGTGCGCATCAAGAGTGTTGGTCGTCCCCCCTTGGACGTTGTCGCTGGCCAAGCTGCTGCTGTTTCTCGCGAACCGCTCGCCCAGCATGATCGGGATGCTGGCAGTGGCGATACTGAGCGTCTGCGTGTCGCTCTCGCTGTGCGTAGTGCCGGTTTTGGCGCGTTACACGGTCTTCCCACTGCTCTCAGGGCTCATTCACAAGTTCGCGGCCGCTTATCTCACTGATAGCATCCAGGTTGAGTATACCTTTGGCTCCTTCGCGGTGCGTGCCCGACGTGGCGTCGGCGCGGCCTCGGAGATGCTGCGTGGCATCACCATCTCGCTCTTCTTCGTCAAGTTACAGAGCGAATTCCTTAAGACGCTGGCCTTCACCAAGCAGGGTCTGGCCCCCGTGGATCTTAAGAGCGTGAGTATTAAGAAGATTACCATCCACCTGGCTACGACCTGGAAGGTGGTGGTCAAAGTGGAAGGAGTGGCCGTCGATGGTCAAATAGTAGACCCCAATGTGGAAGGAGTCTTCGAGCTGCAGGACGCTGTGGCCATGAAGCTCGCCGAGGCGGCCTTCTGGATGAATCTACTGGTGACCGAACGCACCACGTCGGAGCTGAGGCAGAAACAGGCGGAGGAGCTGGCCAATAACCCGTCAAAGTCGTTCTCCTTCAAAGACCGCGTGTTGCAGCAGATTGCAGCCCAAGCGGATGTCCATGTAAGCGATGTGAGAGTGGCCATCACAGGCCTGACGCCTGGAGCTGCTGCTATTGATGGCCACGACGACGAAGTCGAGGAGAAGGACGACGAGGACGCAGAGGTGGCCACCACCAGTTCCATTCCTGTGGTACTCAAGCCCACGCGTGTAAGCGTTTCGCTCAAGTCGTTTGACTTGCAGACTGACGTACTGCATGAGAACAGCGATGAGGCTTTGCAGCTTGTTCTGACGTCAGAGGAGATCCTCGTGGAGCACGCTGTGAGCATCAAGGGCATGAACATCTGCGCTGCTACTGTCGATGATGGAGAGGATGACAACTCGGCCGTGGAGAAGAAACAGGACCCGTTGAAAGACAATGGTGGTGTTGGTCCTGGTGAGACGCCTCTGCTGTCCTTCCCTGGTCTCGATTTGAAGCTGAAGGTGCCGCCCATGCCAAGATTGCTGGGTATTGTGGAGCACATCGCTCCTATTCCAATGAAGAATCGCCTGGCCCACGTGGAACTTACATCGTCTTCGATCAACAGCATTTCCGTCACGCGTGAGCTGTTAGTGGGTGTGCTACGTGACCTGTTTGTGCCGTACACGGACCACCAGGTGCTAGTGCAATCAGTGCGCACGCTGGAACACGACGAGACTGTCCGTAAGCCGATTTCCAAAGAAGATGAAGAGTTTTACGTGGCTAACTACGACCAAGTGGACAGCAACAAGTCGCTGTCGAGTCAGGAGAAAAAGGACCGCAATGAAGAACTGCAGAAACTGGAGAAATCGATGACGCTGAACAAGATTCTGAAGCTTCGCAGTCGCGCGACTGGGTTGGCCAAGTACTATCGTCACAATAAAGAAGAGCTTTCTCTTGCGGACTACACTGCGATTGTGCGGGAGAACGCTGCCAAGCCGAGTAACATCATGTTCAGAGCAATGGAGGTCGCACTACGCTGGGAGAACATGAGCATTGGGTTTGTTGAGCGCGGTCGTCAAGTTGCTGAGATGGTGGTGATAGGCTTTGGCGTCAATGTGCGCATGTTCACGATTGCAGAGGGTGAAGAGAAGCAGAAACTCGACGTGGATATGGTGTTAGGCCAGACCACATTTGTTGTGAACGTTGGGGTTTCAGTTCTGAACCCTGTGTCTCCGACGGCCAAGGTATTGTTCGCAGATTTCAGCAAGATCGCTGCCGAGTCGGATGTGATTACTCCACCACAGATGCTGACTGCTCATGTGAGCCAATTTGAAAGCGGCAAACAGGACGTGCGTGCTGCTGTGAATAATGTCAAGTTGGTGCTTTCTGCTAATGCACTGGAGCATTTCCTGCTGTACGTGGATCGACTGAGCACGAAGACTACCCAGGTACTATCGACATCGCGTCCGCCCACGACTCCAATTACTCACTCCGAGTCGTCACCTGCACCGGTGCAAGTTGCCAAGAGTGAGGTGGATACGGTTACTAAGGAGGTGTCGATGTCTCCGTTCAGCCTGCTTGGTGGCATGCTGCTGAATCTCGATGTGAACATGAACGACTGCCACATCCTACTGCTACCCACACAATCCTTCTCGAAGTCGTTGTTCACAGATATTAACGTGGAGACTTGGCAGAGCGAATATGTGGTAGACTGTCGCGTGGACATGCCAGCTACGTTAAGCATTCATCTCGAAAGCTCCAAAGTGAAGGAGATGCTGGAGTTCAACGTGCACAGCTTCAGTATTGGAGCTCAATACGTCGAAGGTGCGAAGGAGGTGGAAACCATTCTGGCCCCAACAACAATTGTGTTCCAGTTCACACTTGCTCAAGACACCAAGAACCCCTTGGTTTGCCACCAGAGTGTAATGATGCACATGCCGGATGTCTTGGTTGCTGGGTCGGACCTCAGTTTGTCGCTGCTGGCTTCTTGTGGTGAGGCTCTCGGAAACGTGCAGACGACTACACCCGACCAGGCCCGACTTCGCCTTGAGAGTCGATTGAAACAAGACGAGATCCGTCGCCAGGCCGAAGTTGACGCAGTTCTCGACCGCCTCCACCGTCTTTTCAACGAGATCGATGAAAACGGAAATGGACGCATCGAACTGGCCGAGCTCCTTCTGCTGCTGCGCCGCGTCAAGGTCGGCGACACTTTATTAGAAAGTGAATTGGAGCACTTCGTTCGTGAATTGTTCAAGGAAATCGACCAGGATGGCAACGGATTCCTGGAGTTCCAAGAGCTGCGAGCATTCTTGCGCGATGATCTAATGTCCGATGAAGCTGCAGCTTCTACCGCCGATTCAAAGTCAGCGAACGGCAGCAATGCGCTCCATGGCTTCCTTAACCTCCGCGGCAACGAATATCATTCGTTCGAAGTGATTAGCAAGCTGTGTGACACGAAGATAACTTCGTCGGAGCAGCTTGCAGAATGGATCAAGCATCCAGCGTTTGAAGGCCGATTCTGGGAATTGTTTGAGGGTGAAGCTCGCGTCAAGAACCGATCGTTAGGTGACCAGAACCCTTTGGATGTACAGAAGAAGTTGGTTCGTCTGTTGAAGAACTACGATGCGGCCAACTTGATCTGGGATGCTTTAGTGTTGCCTGCTTTGGAAGGCAACGGCACAGATCTTGTGATGTGCGAGTGGTTATTACAGCCGTTTACGCGCTGTGGAGGCATTAGTGAGTACCAAAGTGCTGCGAAGGTGATCGCAAAGAAGAAACGTGACGGTATCTTCGCTGCAGCATTGGAGGAGGCCGAACAGTTGGTGAGTAAGCTCACTCAGGACGCAAACCCAGTGAAGAAGGTGCTGCAGTTCACGACAGACGTCAAGATGGGTAACCTACGGTTTGTTCTGACAGACGCAGAACTTCCTGCTCGATTCTGCCGCGGTGACTTTGTCATCAAGGACGTGAAGATGTCGATGGAGCTAACTGGAAAGGAAATCGATGAGATCGGACCCGTTGATTGGATCGGGTTGGCTACATCGGGCAATTCCGACTGGACGATCCTGTTTGGCTTCAAGATGTCGTCGTCCTGTTACAGCGATATCGCGAATGACATGGAGAACATCATTGAGCCGTGGGATTTGGTTGCCGGTATCTCTTCTGGAGCTGGTGAGAACGGCTTCTCTGTGTTGATGGAGGCTGCCAAGCGCTTCCAGATCAATGTGACGCCCAGTGTTCTGAAGACATATCGTGCTCTGATGGACGCACTTGACGGTGAGGCCCAGCAGAATGCTCTGCAGAAACACCAGGACAGCTTCCAAAGCATTACCGCCGCGAAGAAGCGCAAAGAAACGGATTGCCTCGTGCAGAACTTTACGGGATGCAAGGTCACTTTGAAGCTGAACGGTAGTGACGAAGAAATCGTGATTGATGCGCACAACCGCACTCATATTGAACACGGAGCACTCAAGAATGGCGAGGCAACGCTCGACTCGCTTGAAATCGATCAGTGGGGAACCAGCAATACCGCGGTGAAGTTGCCATCATTCGGCAATGTTAGCGTTGGAGTGAGCACTGCTGAGGCAACGCCCTCTACTCTGTTTGTCACTGTTTTTTCGCGACTGGAAAACCCGCGACGCCAACTTATTGTGCTGAGATCCAACACATACTTCTGCAACCACAGTTCTGAGTGCTACGAAGTGAAATATCTCAGTCTTGCAAGCGAAGGCAGGAAGGCTATAGAGTCTCCTGTTATCAAGTTGCGCCCCAATGAGCGAATTTCGCTTCCGCTGTCGCTTCTCATGGGGATCACGGAGTTTTACGCTCGTCCAGAAAACTACGAACACTGGATTGTGAAGACGTCACTGAACAATGATGTGTTAACATCGACGGAGGCGATCAAAGAGCTGGAGGTGCATGATGCTGAACGAGAGATTAAGAAGAAACAGCGTCGTGGTGGCACCATTGTCTATGGCGAGACCGAGGAAACGTGCACGAAGGTCATCAAGAGTTTGACACCGAACATGATCGTGCGTCGTTGGCACCTGCGCTCACATTTCGAGTGGGAATTGGCGCTGTTGCCTCCATTTGTGGTGCGTAACTCGCTGCCGTACGAGATGGAATACCGTTTCATCGAGTACAAGACCAGTTCCTTGCAGGACATGAAGACGGAGTACGCCAAAGTTGAAGAGCTTCTGCGACGTGAGAGTGCACTTGAGGTGTCGGATGGAGTATTGACTGGCGTTGTAGAGTCAGGTCACGATACTGAAGTGTCTGGTGTTTCCGGAGGATACCCAGGATATTTGTCTGTTCGACTGGTTGCCAAGAAGCACAGTACGGGCAAGCACGTTGCGTCTCCGTGGTCAAAGCCGCTTCTGATGATGATTCACAAGGGAGTAGAGCAGTTCACGACGTCTCGCGAGAATGTGGAAGCCGACACTGGTCTCAAGTTTAACATTGATCGAATCACGCTGCCTGGTTACCCTCGACTCGTTCGTTTTTCGAGCCCGTACTGGATTGTGGACAACACCTCTCTCGCCTTCGACTTTGCGTCTACCGAACAAGGCGCGAAGAAATCTTCATTTAAACCCATGGACGTGTGTGCACCATTCAGCTACCCGATCATGACGTCGCTACGTCACGATCGTCTGAGTCTGAAGCCACGTGCGAATCTCAATCGTCGCCCAGAGGCATGGGGAGAACTAGGCAACATGCCGCAGACGGCTTATAAGGCTTCTACTGTGTCTGAACATGCTATCAAGAACGCACAATGGTCGGAACCGGTTAACACGACTGCCATCAACACGATGGGTGAGATCGTATGCGGCCCAAGCGTCTTCAGCGTCAAGATGGAAGGTCTGTACGGGCTTTTCGAGCCAGGTGTGTCGCTCACGTTGAGTCCGCGGTATTTCGTGCAGAACCGACTGAATCAGAAACTCTACATCCAGAGCTTTGCCTCGCACGACAATGACCCGCAGAAGGTTGTTGACATGTTCCACAAGCGAAGCGCGGAGGAGGTGAAGCAGCTGCATCTAGCGCTTGAAGATGGCCAGACTACACCGCTGTATCACTTTGGCTCGTTGAAGAAGGGTGAGTCTGTGGAGCAAAGTCAACGCTACGTGTCGTTTTCGTTCTCGGAGGACTGGGGCACCGACGCCGACAAGAAGAACTGGTCGTTCGCTATCCCGATCAATACGGCGGGAGATCTCTACTTGCAGGTCTACTCATCTGTGCGTCAGCGATACCTTATTTGCCAAGCAAGTGTGCAGGTGGTCGACATGTACGTGTACGTGGTTCTGACCGATGTGTCCTGCGCACCGCCGTATCGCATTGAGAACTACACCCCGTTTACTGTGGACTGCGCACAACTAGGCGAGTCGTCCATCTTCAGCAGCGGGCAGAAGGCGATGGCTGCCACTATTAAATCTGGTGCGTGGCACGCGTTCGCTTGGTTCAATCCGTTGTCAAAGGAACGTCAAGTCGAGCTCCGTCTTTCGCATCTGGATGCTCCCAAAGCGCAGACCAAGAAGTATGACATCGACTACGTCGGCTACTTGGATCCAATCACCATGTGGGTGTCACGTGATGGCGAGAAACAGCATCCCGTTGAGTTGACTGTCCAAGTTGTCGTTGAAGAGAGTACTCGCGTGCTTAAGATCGCTGAGAAGGAGTTGGAACTGAGTCTTCTGGAAAGCCAGGACTCCGAGGGAGAGGGCGATGTTCAGCACCGACGAATGCTATACGCGTCGTCTTTCGACATCGCGTTCGATGGTTTTGGATTCTCCTTGCTGGATGGATTCCCTCAGGAAGTGTTCTTCGCGTCAGTCGATGTCATCAAGGTGCAAAAGGCTCCTGCATCGCTGGAATGGACGTTCTCAGTGCTGCACTGCCAAGTGGATAACATGCTGGCGACTGCCAAGTTCCCTGTGATCATGAACCCAGTGAACGCCGGCTACAGTGACAAGTCCGTTGGCAAGGAACCGGAACCGTTCTTGAAGCTGGTGCTTGATGCAGATCTCGAGGCTCGTATGGGAACCTACAAGCTGCTTAAATTCAGTCTGAGTGATCTAGCAGTGAAGGTGGATATCGATTACTTGGTGAATCTCGTCAAACTGCTCGAACCGTACTTGGTGTCTGACGCTACCATGGCGCACCGCTCAAGACTGACGCTTGAGAGCACACTTCATCGTCGTGCTCCACCCATGCCTGTGATGTTGGTGACGGAGGACGGCGGCATCCAAACGGATCTCGTGTACTTCGACATCCTGCGTATATCTTCGCTGTCAATTGATTTGGAATACTCAATCACGCGCAAAGATATCGTGTCGTCTACGGGTGGAGGCCACTCCGTGATCTTCGGCTTCCTAAGCCAGATCATCGGGTTGATCGGATCAAACCTCAGTGGCTCACCGACCTTCAGCTTCAGCGAGATCGTGATTGTTAGATGTTTCTCGACGAAACAGCGTCTTCAATCCCAACTTGTCGCGAACTACGTCCAACAAGGTGTGATGCAGGCTTACCGTCTTGTTGGCAGCGCAGACATCATTGGCAACCCGATTGGCCTTGTGGAAGACTTGGGTTCTGGTGTGGTGGAATTTTTGAAGATTACGAAGGGAGAATTGACTGGTGATGCTCAAACTCGTGGTGAGGGAGTGAAAGTACTGGGCAAAACCATCGTCAAGTCGGGTGCTTCCTCCGTCGCGAAGATCACGGGGTCGCTGGATAAGTTCGTGGGCGAGTTTTCTGATGACAAACCTGATCCTTCTGTTGAAGATTTGTCTAATGATAATGCTGGAATCAAGTTCGCTAAGGACCTTGGTCGCGGCTTCACGGGCATTTTCACGAAACCAGTTGAAGGCGCGATGAAGGGTGGCGTTACTGGACTTGTACAAGGCACAGTACAGGGTATTGCCGGCCCCGGTGTCGTCCTGCTCAAGGGTCTCACGTCGACGTCTCACAATCTTGCGCTGGGTGTGCAGTCGACTGTTGTGGATCGTTCTCCATTCGGCGGTCGTCGTCGCAAGCCGAAGCTGGTGGAGAATGGCAAACTGATTGCGGAGTTTGACGAGGAACACTACAAGCCTACGCGTTTGGAGCTGGAGGTTCTCGGCGCTAACGGGTTGGATTCCGATAAGTCGTGCGATCCGTTGTGTGTTGTACGTATCGACGGCGTGGATGTGATGAAGACTGCTGTCATTTACAACACAGTGAATCCTGTGTGGGAAGAGAAGACCCAATTGGCATTGACAGGCGAGGAGAGTGAAGTGCAGTTCGTGGTGAAGGATTCTTACGGTGGAACAGTAGCTAAGACTGTCGGTAAGTGCATTTTAAGTATGGCGAAGCTGCAAGAGGATTTCAAGCCACCCGAGTACGCGTCGGATCTGGCCCAATGGGTGCATACGCAAGTGAAGCCTGGGAACACGAAGAAGAACGTCAGTCACGTGATTACTGAAAAGGAATACCCGCTCGTAATGCTCAAGAAGAACAGCTCGAAGGCGGCTCATGCTGCTTCTTTCGGTGACGAGAAGCACCAAGTTCTTGTGACGATTCTGTCGCTTCGTGACATGGTGGTCACGAGCTCGACTGGCGGTGGAGTGCTTGGTTTGGGCAACTTGGGAAGCAGTACGCCCAATATTTCACCATATATCTCGGTGCATGTTGGCAAGAACGCGAACCGGACGAACATCACGAAGATGTCGTTCGTCAAGAACAAGAAGGAGCAGTTCGGCAACGCGTCGTGGGGCGAGAGCTTTACTTTCCCGTTGACTGCCAAGGAGCTACATCGCAGTGGCGCTGACTCCAGATTGGTCGTGTATCTTAAGGACAAGAGTATGCTGGTGGACACGCGTCTTGGATCTGCGACGCTGGAGATTGACGCCACGAAGATTAACGTGCCTGCATCGACGGAAGAGCTGATACTCAAGGACCAATCGGGCAAATTGGTCGGCTACATAACAGTGAAGGTGGAAGTAACTGGATCCGCCACGTCGTCGCGTTCGCTGTCGATGAGTGCGCTTATGTCTGCTGGTGATGACATGGCCAACCTCCCGCCCGATGCTGTCAAGGCCGGCACCATCCGTGTGTCCTGCGACTTCGAGTAAGCTCCATCGACGTATTTTGCATTTTTACGTATAGCGGTAATATAACCTGCAAACAAGTTGAAGTAATCTAAAATCGTACTTATTCGAGTTGTTAATGCACACCAATGTGACACCAACATGATTCCACTTCAATAGAAGGCGGGCATCGCAGCACGACAGTAGGGGAAGCATGGCGCTCGCTCTGCAGGTCCTCACACTGTGTCTCGTGCTTTGTGGAGGTCTCTGCTACTTGGACGTCTATGCGAAGAACATTACTGTTCAAGTATGGGAAAACGACGTCCCAATGCTCCATAATTATGCCTCCACAGCCGTCGACAGCATGAGCTTTGAAGTGCTCCAGGTATCAATGATACATTACCATCTTCGTTTAGTAAAATGTACTAATCCGTTGATTACTACTCTTGGTAGTACAATCTCTTTGGCAGACCGTTCGAAGTCTCCAAGGACGGACAGAGTGAGCGACTGCAGCGAGTGCCTGAGTCACTACATCAGATTTCAGAGACCATCGACGTTGTGACTTTCGCGGAGGCAGATATTCGAACGCAACGCGATGAAATGTTGGACCAATTCAGAGTGTTTGGATTCAACTATTCCACGACAATTCTGCACGATCCAGACCCGTTCACAAGTTTACTGAACGGAGGAGTGATGGTGGTGTCCAAGTGGCCCATCATTCGAGAGGCGCAGCACGTGTATCGCAATGCCTGTCATTACTCTGACTGTCTGGCTGCCAAGGGAGTCAAGTACGCAAGATTATTAAAATCGGTTGACGGAACAGCCAAGATCTTCAATGTGTTCGCCACGCACATGCAGGTATGAGCGCGTGGTTTTGAAAATATTGTGAAAACGCTTCTAAATTCGTGATATGATGACACTGAAGGCGTGGTCGACACCTGAAGGCCGGTCGGACCGAATTCAGCAAGCTAAGCAGGTAGGTTTGATGCTCTCGAGCTGTTTTTCGGTCGGAGCTAACGTTTTGTGTTATTTTACTGTTAGATGCGTCAATTCATCGATGCAATTGATATCCCGCATCACGAGGTAAGTGGTAGTTCTTCATTGTTCGTTGCTATTAACTGCTTTCGTTATTTTTTTTGCTGCGCTAACTACTATACCTAGCCGTTGATCTTCGCAGGAGACTTTAACGTCGACAATCACACTTTTGGAGACGAGGTGGCGCACCTGGTGGCGCTGCTTGAAGCTCATGAGCCTCGACAAATAGGCAAGCAAGCTTTTACGAGCGAGTATGTGCTGCGTATTTTACGGTTATGAGATTCATTACTGACTACATGGTCGTATGCTGTAGCCCACACACGAACGTACTTGTTGGGCGTGACGGAGCTGCGATCAGCAACAAATGCTCAGCGCAATACGTAGCGAACTGGGGGCCGCCGAAGGTTCGTTTTGTAGTGTAAGTTATGTCTACGATGTCATTTATCATTGCTGAATCTATATGACCAGGATGGCGTGTTCCACCCGTCATTTCTCACGCGTACAACCTGCGGAATGCACAGCGAGATCAATGAGTCAAAGTGGCTGGTATTCGTTGACCCCGACACAATGTGCTACTGCCCATGCTGTCCATTGGAGTGGCTAGACTACGTTCTTTACGGCAAAGGTATATCATTTCTACCATCCTAATTTGTTTAATACTGACTCAGCAATTTCACTTATTTTTTTCACTGCAGCTCCTTATCAGCAGCCCAGTAAAGTCCCAACACTCGAAGCCCACGTGAACCAAGTCAAGCATTTCACCGTGGACTGGACAGCACCGCAAAGCAACATGAAGATGGCGCTGGTCGATTTATCCGATCATTACCCGGTACACGCGAAGTTCGAGTTCCCAGTTACTCGTGGTAAAGGGAGGGATGACGATCCCTTAACGTACCATTTGGACGGATGCTCAACGGACGATGATTGCCACTTCCGCAACTTCCGCTGCTACTGCAATGGACCCAACTGCTTCTACCAGGGCAACCACACGAATGGATGGGACCTCGACTCGAACCACCCAGTCAACCGCAATTGTTTGTTCCAAAAAACCTCCTTCAGGTGCCTATGTGGACCGACATGATGGTAGTTGTTGAATGTGGCTAAAGTAAAATACATATAGGTACCAGTGAGGGCGTTACGTACCACTAAGAGCACAGACTTTTAAAGCCAAGTGAACATGTAACGACCCACCTATCCTTGGCTGCTTAGTGGCGTCCTTAGGAGACATCGACTTCTCCAGAGTTTCAAAAGACCCAACACACGCTTAACCGCTTGCCTTGAACATGTCGTGGCAAAGTCAATGGGGAACCGTCAAGGCCACGAACGCCAGAGCTGCTGCACTGTACTATGAAGTGTCGAATGTGGGTAAAACCATCGAGAGCTCCAAGAAGCGCGTGGTTTGGCGTCTGAAAGTCGAAGAGGGACGAGAGTTCGAGATCTCGCTCACGCACTCACTGGCATCGGGTAAGAAAGTGCTGCGTGTTGATGGGATCGTCAAGTACACTTCGCAATCGGTAAGTTTCGTAATTTAAAATGTTTGATTTATTTTTTTTCGTGTTTTACCATTATTTTATGTTGCAGCTCTCGTTTGGTGACTGGGACTACGTGTTCAACCTGCCTGGAGGCCACTGCGTACACATTATCATTAAGCCGTCCGTGGACCTCAACGATATGTATGGTGAGTAACGAGAAGCTCCACAATTAATTAATCACTGACAATTGATTGTCCTTTAGACTTGATCGTGGATGGGATGTCATTCCGTCGACTACCAAACCGTCTGGATCCTTCCAAGCTCCCGAAGCAACAGGACAATGTCGTGAGCTCGGCTACACGTACCGGTAGCTCCGGTTCTCGAAACAGCTCGTTCACGTACAACTACTCGAATGGAGGCTATGCCAGTGGTAGCAACTCTCGCGGTGGTAGCCGCAACGCGTCACGTGAGAATTCCTTCTCGCCTTGGGAATGCACTCGATGCACTTTGGTGAACGAGAAACCCCACGCTCCTATCTGCGAAGCCTGCGGTCATCCGAAGCCCGACTACATCTGTACGTTGCTCCACCTACCCTCTTATAAAGTCTCTAACAAACTACTCTTTCATGTCTAGCCCCGGAATCTCGACAGCGTGCGAAGACTGTGGCTGCGTCGCCGAGTCCTCCGCCGTCTCCTCGTAAAGCGGCAAAGTCTGCAGCGGACGCTCCCGTTGTCTTCGATATGTGGCAAAGCTCCCCGACTTCGAACACGGCAGCCTTCCCAGCCTTCACGGATTCCGATGGATTCCCGATGTCGTCAACGCCTGCTATGTCGACGATGCCCTCCAAGCAGCCGTTCCAACAAGATATCACGTCCATGTTGTCTGGACTTGACTTCACGCCTCCACCGGTTGAGGAAACCTCACCTCCAATGGAAGCTACACTTGAGCCTACACCGACGGAAGACAAGACCACAGCCGGAGATTTGTGGTCTTCTGACATGGTGAATCTCAACTTGAAGCCCGAGGAGAAGAACCCGGTGCAGCGATCCGCCAAGAGCTACCAGACGCTGGAACAAGCTCGTCAACTTGCTCCAAAGGAAAAGGTTCAGGTGCTACCGACGCCGCCTCCAATGCCATTCCCTACTTACAACGCAGTGCAGGCACCAACAGGCTTTAACGGCGGGATGGCCCCAGCGCAGCCCATGATGTACAACACAGTTGCTAACACTGGAGCGTTCGCTATGGTACCCGCTCCGATGGGCTTTGGTGCGCCACAAACGAACGCGATGCCAGCATACGGAGGTTTTGGCGGACAACAAGCGTCTCCATTCATGACTACGGCTCCTATGAACGGGCCGCCCAGACAGTCGTCAATGCAGAACTTCAGCAACGACCCATTTGCTACTCTCTCTTAGTTTACATGAAGCCCAGCGTTTACACAGAGGAAAGAACAATAACACTGCTTCAGCAATGCTAATCCTAGCATTGTACGTTTTGGCGTTGGCATGGGCTGCTAACCAGTCTAAAATAGACTAGCTGCTGCAGTCGGTTGGATTGATCACAGCGTTGAAGAGGTCTTCCATTGGTTCTTTGGACAAGCAGGGCGACGACGACGACGACGACGACGACGACGACGACCACAATAATCTGGACAAGGTTCATGTTTGTTGACTTGGCAGCTCGGGTGTGGAGCTTGCTTCGAGCCGAATTGAAGAATGAACTGACGATAAATAACTCTTTGAGACTACGTGCCGTGATACAGTAACATATAGGGTTGTAATTTAGTTGGTTAAATACGAAAGTAGTATTCTTCGCAGTTAAATGCAAATAAATAGCGAATTAAATATAATTAAATACTTCAATAAGTACAAATTGCATCATAGAAGAAGCAAGCATATTTCTCTAATTACACAGAATGGTACGAAATTTATGTGAAATCCCGGATATACTCTCATAGTGAAACAAAGTGATAGGACCTTCTTCAGTCGGGACACTGCTCTACATGTGCCATAACGAAGCCTCTTCGGTGACTGCGCAGGTCTGTGGCGGAGACCTCATGCGGACGAACAGCGAAAGTTTGCGGCCACTCGG